CAGTCTAACTTCAGTCAGTTTTCAGCGTTTGTTTTTTTTTTTTTTTTTTTTTTTTTGGAAAAACAGTACCTGTGTGTGAAGTCTTTGGAACTGCTGTGCGATTCACGCCACCTGTGAACCTTGCTGAGTCTGTCATGGTGAGCTGAGTGCTTTGACCCCCCCCACCCCCGCTGCTGCCCCCCTAGGGCTTCCAGGTGGCAGCATGCCTCAGGTTGGGCCTTTTGCTCCCAGAAGTTTGTGTCAGCCTGTGGATTGATTTTTGGAGGGTGGGTGGGGGTGCGCATGAGACTTATGCTCTCCCACCTCCTGTGCAACAACCATGTTCTGTATACAAAGAATGCAGGGCTTGTGAAATATTTTTTTTTTTTTGGGGGGGGGGGGGGGGGGCTATCCACGCGTCTCTGTGTCTGAGGTAGTAGGAAATCGCCGTAGCGCCTGCTGTCAGCTGATGGCTATTACACTCCGCCCCCTTTCGCGGGCCGGCGGACGGGATTCACTCCCGAAGGCTTCAGAGGGCTGCTCCAGTCTCCATTAATTAATTTTAAATGTTTTTGAAACACAGAATCTGCTGCGTAATTTGTGCGTGATAAAAACGATAAACAGTGAGTTTAATCAGGTTTAAAACTAATGGAAATCAGTGCCGCGTCATTTTTCATAAAGACAGGTGTTCCGCGCGGAGCGTGACGCACTCCATCCCACAGGGTCCCAGGAAGGTAACCCTGCTGCTGCTTTTGTTTTCAGCTAATTAATGGCGATAATCTAAGGCTTACTGGGGAGAAGGTGCTCTGCAGCCGCTCCGACGTGCTTCATTTGTGCGCTTTTGCTCTCGTCCTGCGCTGCAGTCCAAGGAGTCCTCATCCGTCCTGAGCTGTGACGTCTCCCCGGACGACAAATTCATCGTGACCGGCTCTGGGGACAAGAAGGCGACAGTGTACGAGGTCGTCTACTGAGGCCCGTCGGGGGGGTCCCCGACCCCGACCCCGGCCCGCATCACCTGGCGGCCGGTAGGGGCAGAAATGCAGTGGGTAATTAGTCCAGTTTCCTGATTAAGTGCTCAGTGGGAGCGATCACCCCGAGGAGCGGCACAGCACTCAGGGGCCCGAGCGGAGGAACTCCAATACCAGACAATCGATTCATTAGTCCGTCAGTCATGCGGTAATGAGGCAGTCTGCTGTCCCCAGAGCAGCCACATTCGCTTCTCACCCTTCATCCTATTAAGTATTAATATCCCATCTCCGTCTCCTTAAGACGCGCTTTATTTCTGCCTTTCGGAGTCGCCGCTTAATGGGTGGAAGTCCCAGCAGGTTAAGCAAAATGACACCAGCCGCCAGTGTTCAGTTTAACCACGGCACTAACACATTTTTTTATGGCTGCTGGAAGCTATAAATGAGTCACGGCCTACAGACACGCACGATGTGATTAACATTCTTGTTTATACTCCCTGTGCCCTGAAAAACTCTAAATCACACAAAATGATATAATTTCATATATTTAGGAATCGCACAGTGCTTTTCAGGGAACTGGTAATGGCGTTAAACTGTTTATGGTGGTCAGCTAGTCTGTCAGGAACCTTGTAACATTCTGGAACAGGCCGGTAGCCAAGGCTGAAACACGCATCACTCGCCATGTTCTGTCCCTGCTGTTTCCGTTGGCCTTCCCGCTAATCTCTCGCCGATTCCCCAGCTTTGATCACTGAAGCGTTCAGCATCATATTACTGTTCTATGTGGTATAGTCAGTCTGTAATAGAGTGGAATGGGACTATGGCCGTATAAAGCAGGTCTTGTCATATGGCAAGAAAACCCGCAGTCTTATTTACGCCATGAGAAAGACTATATCCATACCCTCTGCTTACGCATTATGGGGGGTGGGGGGGCTTGTTGCTTGCAGGCAGCCTGGGGAGGGTGTTACCAGTGTGATACCACTTTAAGAAGCCTGAATACCTATTACACCCACTAGCTGTCTAACTGCATTGCACTGCACTGCACTGCATTCCTAGGAGGTGGGGATGGTGGTGCACCGGTTAGCACTGGTGCCTCCCAACTCTGGGACCAGGGTTCAAGTCTCTACATGTGGAGTTTATACATTCCCCCCCCCCCGCCCCCCCCCCCCCCCCCCAAAAAAAAAAAAATATTTCACAAGCCCTGCATTCTTTGTATACAGAACATGGTTGTTGCACAGGAGGTGGGAGAGCATAAGTCTCATGCGCACCCCCACCCACCCTCCAAAAATCAATCCACAGGCTGACACAAACTTCTGGGAGCAAAAGGCCCAACCTGAGGCATGCTGCCACCTGGAAGCCCTAGGGGGGCAGCAGCGGGGGTGGGGGGGGTCAAAGCACTCAGCTCACCATGACAGACTCAGCAAGGTTCACAGGTGGCGTGAATCGCACAGCAGTTCCAAAGACTTCACACACAGGTACTGTTTTTCCAAAAAAAAAAAAAAAAAAAAAAAAACAAACGCTGAAAACTGACTGAAGTTAGACTGAGATCTGCGTTCAGGTACACGGGTGACTTAAGCAGGGGCTCTTGCCTGCTGCCGGATGCTGTCCCCCTTAGGGACGCA